GAGTTATTATGAATATAGTGTATATATATACATGAGATGGAAATGGTAGAATATGGCAACTGTTAGTATCATCTCGTCCACTGGTATGGGTATCTCTTTCACTCCTGCAGAGCAGCAACGGTTGGCAAGAGGACAAATTCTGCTAATGTCCATAATGTTAGGCTAGCCTAGTACTTATTAATTTCTGGACAAAAATGAGTTGGATTTACCCTTCATTACATAACACTTGTTCCATTGATTGATAGCGTTTGAATTTGTCAGTTATTATAGACTTCACCCTTTTAGAATTTGCATAGGAGTACGTTATGATCGTTATACTATTTTTTTATTACTCCATGTAATAGCTCTAGAACTGAAACTATGAAATATGAATATATATTATTAAGGAAATAAGTGTTGTACCCAATGAACAGTATGCTTTAGAGTTACTTCTGTCTGATGATTTAACATGTTTAATGTTCATTGTTTTGTGATCAGTCACATAATGTTTTTCTAGTAATTATGTCTTGATAGTTAAGACAATCTTTTGTATTTACACAAAGCAATATATAATGGTTATAAAGGAAAACCAATCACCTCAGACATGTTTCCAGACATTAAACAAGTATTCCCCAGTTCCAATGTTTACAATTTTTGTGTCATAGAAGAATGTTCTGGCCTTTTTTGAAATGTCAACAAAGACTCTAACCAAAATGACAAAATAAAATGCACTGCACTTCTGTCAATACTCTGATCACAAATGAGAGAAAACGGTTCGGTTTTGCGCATCTAACTACTTTTCCTCAAGACTGGATGCTATTGCTCTCTTAATAATTTGTCAGCAAGTTGTGTTCTGCCACAAAATTAATAAATAAGTATTAGCCATGATCAGTTGGCTTATACATTGGTACTTATACATCCCGATATTGTGTTAATGTGCTATGGTAAATATATGTATTCTTGTCTTTCGTTATTGCTAATGTGCTTTGTCTGTATGCTTTTTTGTTTTTCTTTGTTGACATATTTATTTGTTTTTATAGTGATTAAGATTATAACACAATGTTGTCTGCTGTACCCCCATTTTTGACATTTTGACATATTATGTTTATTTGTATTGTTCACACGTCGTAGTCAATATAATGGAATTTTATACGACTGTCATACAAGTGAGATGTTTAGCTAGCTATAAAACCAGGTTTAATCCCCCATTTTCTACATGGGAAAATGCCTGTGCCAGTTCAGGAGTGTGACAGTTGTTGTCCATTCGTTTGATGTGTTTGAGCTTTTGATTTTGCCATTTGGGTGGGGACTTTCTGTTTGGAATTTTACTCTGAATTCGGTATTTTTGTTAGTTTACTTTTGACTGGCAAATTTATCGTTTGGTTTCTGGAACACGTGGTGAAAAACCTAATCGATTGTCTATTCTTTTAAGCCTCCTCTGCCATATTGTGAGTGTAACACGTATCATGCATTTTAACGTTGTGCAGACCACCAGAAGCAACCAAACATTTTATATCTATAATATTTCAGTCAAAGATAGTGAAGGATACCAGCATGATGATTATGACATTGGGCCTTCCAACAAGAACCTTTCCAGCAGACAACCAAGATTACATTAGTTCAGGTATAACTGTCCACTTACATTGTATGATTTAGTGTTTACCAATAATTATTATTTCAATATTTTTGTTTCTTTTCCAAAACAGTGAGGACCTTCTAAAACAGAGTAACAGAAAACATAGATACAGATATTTCCATTTGATGACACTACAGTGAAAGACTTTGCATTTTTTATCCCTATGAGAAGAATCCATCTATCTTCTAACTGTGGTAAGTAAAATACATAATGGTAATTTGCGTATTTTCTTTTTTAAGTTCTAAATATTGTATAAAGATTTACACATCTTCCAGCTGACGTCAGCAGCTAAACACCCGAAATGGACAGAAGGGGAATCGGATTATATATATATCCTTATTTGCCTAAGCTAGCTCTTACATGTGTTGTCCTGCCAACTAGTAATACATGTAGTGAGCGTTTTTTATCAATGCGAAAAAAGAATCTAAAATAATAATGAAATTGAGAATGGAAATTGGGAATGTGTCAAAGAGACAACAACCCGACCAAAGAGCAGAAAACAGCCGAAGACCACCAATGGATCTTCAGCACAGCGAGAAAATCCCGCACCGGAGTCGTGCCTCAGCTAGCCCCTAAACAAAAATGTGTACTTGTTCAGTGATAATGGACGTCATACTGAACATAGGTTAGAATAATATGGTCATAATTATAATCAGCTGTTTACAAAACATAGAATTTTGAAAATGTTTAGGATTTTCTATCCGAGGAAAAGACTTTCTTAGCTGTTTTTTTCTAAACCTTTCAGAATTGTTGGTCTCCAATGCTCCTCAATTTCTTACTTTCGTTAGCCCTAATAACTTGTTTCCATTTGAGCGTCACTGACGAGTCTTTGGTGAACGAGGCGTGCGTCTGGCGTACACAATTGTAATCCTGGTATTAATGATCAGTTTGTTGATTAATATGTGGATCTTACTTTGTTAACCTTTCTATCAATAGACAAATTCTATCTTATAGTTTTCAAGATACACGAGCAACAAAAAAACAATTAAGCTCTTCATTTCAGGGCAATATCTCCTATGAGGAGTCCATGGACAGTTTCAGCTATATTTGATCTTTTTATGAGTACAGATTCTGTTACAAATGATACACTGACATATGTTGAATATACCACAATAATATTATGTTGGAAAGTACAGAATGAATGTTAAAATATCCGAAATCACATATATTACACATTATGTTCAGTGAAATATATCTTTTTAACCACGTTTATCATCACAAATAGGTGTTCACTGCATAAATAAACAAAACCATCATGAAAATAAAAAAAAAAAAAAATACAATGTTAACCAAAACGAATTCATACTGAATGAGACAGTCATTGCATTCCATTTTGAATAAAGAGATGATGTATTGTTGCCAATGAGACCACTATCCACTCAAGACATAAGGAGATGATGTATTGTTGCCAATGAGACCACTATCCACTCAATACCTAAGGACAATGATGTTAACAATTACAGTATATATACAGCCTTAACAAATAACCAAACCCATGCTGTAAATTCATATAAGGAACTGAGTTACAAGAACATGTTCTATTTGCCGTTTCCACTTTAATGTTATTACCTTAAATACGGATGTAAGGTGTCCCTGTTAATTTCAGAATAAATTACATTTTTAAACTCTTTATTATATCTAAATGTAAATGTTCAAGTATGGAAATGGTTTTGCTTGGATTTAGTTCTACACAAATGTAAAGCACTGCCTTTGTATCAACGAATGCAGGTTTTCTTGAAATAAGTTTGTATAAAAGTGGTTTGTTTTTACACCTGTCATAGTATAAACCTTCTACAACTTCCGCACCGGTTTGAAAAGTACCACCCTATACATCACTACGTTCATGTTCTAGAACAAAAGGTTTTCAGGTTACTGTCATTACATAATATTCAGAGTTAAGGTCATCTGTTAGAACAGCTACAACGGAACAAACATCAATAATGTGTGTAGCTTCAACAAAGTCTTTTTCGCAATTAGTTGGTTTCAATGGCCTGTGAATTTATTTCTTTCATTCTTATTAATTTAAAATCTCCGACAAATCTCCAGTTAATATAGTTTTGGATATGTCCCTTTATACAGTCTTCACATTCATAACAAGAAAGCAAATTCATGATCAAGTCTCCTGGTGATGTGTAACATGTGTAATGTGATACTATTTGATAAATTTTTCTGTAATAGTTTTGTAATCAGCAATATCATCGCACGGAATATTCTCTGTATATCTAATTATACGGCAATTAAATATTCAGGATTTTGGTGTTTGTAGAAGATTTTCACAAAAGTCATAAAAGTCTTTAGCACCGTCGGTTTCACCAAAAAACTTACGACTAAGATTGATCGTAAGTATACTGAATTGTTCATGACTTGCGATCAATCTAATTCGTAAGTTTTTTTTGTGGAATCGACTCCAGAACTGCAAGACAGTAACTGACACAAAGCAGAGGCTTGGATCACAGTAAATATCAGTAATGTTGGCAGCCATGGTGACTAACTTACCTCGGGAGACATTATCATGATTATGGAGTTAAGATAAGACACTGCCCTTTGACATATTTGTCACATGTACACGTTCGATAATAATTCACTTTACGCTACTGAACTAGAACATGCATAAACATACTTCGATCTACACACAGATACGTATTGAGGCAATGCCACCAAAATTGTGAACAACTTATACTGTATGATCAACTAACAATTAAAAAAAAATCAGAATCAACCTTTGTTTCAAATAAAGATTCTGAAATACACCGCCTGAGTAAAGTTAAGTCCTTTCCACTACTACATTGAACATTTCCAACAACGTCTCATTGCATAAGAAAATAACCGTCACTGGAAATCAACAAAGCAAAGTGGCTTTACTTTCTTTATCATGTTTAGAAGTGTTCAAGCGTTATTAGCTCATTTTTCTAAAAATATTTTACATAAACACCAAATAGAAAATGAATGGGCCTGAAACACCCAAGATATATGCAATGAAATGAAGCGTTGATTTCTTACAACTTTAAACTGTGGTGATTATTGTTTTTTACTATGTTAACCACTATCAGACTTGATTGCTGAATCCTATTTTGGCGATTGGTTCCAATCTGATCGATATTCATGTATGTGTATCAAATCGTGCTATTAATACATTGAAATACACTCAATTAGGTTAAACTGTCAGAAACTGTTTTATGTTCGAACCATCAGAATCTGTTTTACGATAGTTTGCACGATTTATGATATTTTTTGAATTACTAGACAAGTATATGTTATGCAATTGCTTCAGATTGACATACTTGTTTCATAAAGCAGTCAATGGTACTCACAAAAGTGTAAAGTACTAATTACCTTCGTCATTATAAGCATAATACATCAGTATAACTTTCACTTATCAGCAAAAACATGTATAAATTTTTGGGGCCCATTATAGCTTACTGTTCTGTGTGAGCCAAGGCTCCGTATTGAAGACCATACTGTGACCTATAATGGTTTACTTTTATAAATTTTGACTTGGATGGAGAGTTGTCTCATTCAATTTGGCACTCATACCACATCTTCTTATATCTATATCTGAACATTGCAAGGTTATGAACTCAGAAAAAGTGATATCGGTTGGATACATCCAAAGAGAGCTTTAGTTTTCACTACGACTGCAAGTTATTTTATTATCTGCACGAGTTGATGTTACGGATAAGCGGCATTATAAGTCGTAAGCATCATGGGAAATATTAGTGATCTGAGAAAGAGAGGTTGTTTCGTAACTAACCTTACAGGATTTCTGTTGGTGATACTGGTAATCTGTCTGCTAGTGGTAGTGGCTGTCATTGTTTATTTCACAACGTTGGATATTAAATGTTCTTCGTCGAATGGTGAGTAAATAAATACATTAGTTGACAACGAAGAGAGAAGGTATAAATACATGAACGATTGATTGATTGATATATTGTTATTTAATATAAATAAGAAGATGTGGCATGAGTGCCAATGAGACATTTAACGCCACTTTCAGTTCTGTTGACTATTTTGTGGCAGTCATTTTTTATATGTGGAGGAAGCCGCAGTGTCCTGCGAGAACCACCAATCTTTGGCAGGAAAACTGACAAAATCACTAGCTAGTCAATTAAGATGAGTGCCAAGTGCGCAGTTCCAACTCACAACATCAGTGTTGACAGACTAGTGATACAGTAGTTGGACTACTCAGACCACTCGGCCACCCAGGCCCCCAATATACGAACGACACGTATCAATAATCAAGAAAAAATTAAATAGGCTTTTGTTCAAGATCATAATACTAGTACAGATGTATGTTAACATCTATGGTGTGTTGGGTTGCTGACTCAATGACGAATTGTCAACATCTTATTTTCAAAGTCAATTTCTAAATGATTTCATTAGTGCATACAAGCAGTACAATGTATATGTTTATCAGCGGAGGATGTCTTCCTTCTTATTCGTTTCTCTTTACACACAAGCAGTAGAAATAGTCACTAAGCAAGAAATGTTAGAAGAATAAAATTATGTAGTTTTCTAGCAAAACGCCTCTAACAACAATTTATAACCCAGAATAATATCTTTAATTTTAATCAAGTATTTATGAAAAATACAGTATATGTTAATGTACTTTAAAAAATCAAACCTAGTTTAATATGTATAGTTTAAATTTGTATTTTGATAAGTTTAAATGATATATTAATTGATATTTTCCAAACGAAACTGTAACAATACCGATTTATATGTGAAAGAACATGTAACATAGTAAATGAATGACTCCGATGCTGTTTTTTTTATATATTCTGTAAATTACAAACACATTATTATGCAAAGTAAGTGATCTATAATTGTCATAGACTATTATGTCATGTGAGTGAACTGTCATACCGATGTGAAAGCTTGTTGTGTAATGTTTATACACATGCTCCTAGTAATAAACTTCTAATTATATAACGAAGTACTGTTTTACCATCAAAATGAATGAATGCATTTTTTTTTATTTCAAAGCAGTAGTTACATGTCATAGGAATACAAAACCTAATAAACAGCAGAGAACAATATATACAGATAGTACAAAAGACAAACAATTAAATAATCAGATGAGATCTAATCTGCTAAGCAGATTTTAAATAATTACACTAATACCTTTATTTTATCATATTTGGCCATGACAATAGCATGAATAGTATTTTGGTAAAAGTTGCAGCCTTTCAAATCTATATACAGGGCACACTTAGGTATAAAAGTTGTACGAGGCTCTGAATTGGGTCCTTCAATTATGTTTTCTCTATGTTTTGTTTTTCTCCACTCTTTACATGCAAGTCACCCATTATTCTCTTTTCTTTATTTTTAGGGCCATCATTCTCTATTCTGTAAAAACCCCATCCAGACCCTCATATAACAGGTTATGCTTAAAGGGCTTGTTAATTGTTATGCATTCATCTTTAAACAAGGTTGGTCTTTAAAATAAGTGGTATATGTATATGTTTTTGTTTTTTTTGTTTTATCGCCTGAATTTTTACATGATAAATCGGCAAAAGAAAAAAAAATGTGATATACAATTGATTATATCAGTACCTTCCATAATTTCAAGAAAAATATTTATCTCAACATTAGTTCTCTTTTGATTATTTTTTTTTATTTCTAAGGAAAGAGTTGCATAGAATAAAAAGCTTCCTTTTTATTAGCTTTTAACGATTGATTAAAAAATTAAAGATGAATGGTTCAATCAAACTTACAAACATATAAAAAATGAAAACAACACGTAATAAATTGAATGCGTTCGAAGGATTTACCTTCATCAGAAACGCTCAAAGCAGAAAATTTGAAAGCCAAGGGTGTATAAAACCGAAACAGTTGAAGATCTTGATAATACAAAATGACCTAGATTAATAGCCAAATCCTTCTAAGGCCAACTTTGTCTGTAAAAGTTCATTGCTGGATAATCAAAATTTATCGCACCAGTCTTTATAAGTTTTGATATATTATAATTACATTACATGTATGTGTTATTAGAATCCGTTATTTTGATTGGATGGCAACAATCGTGAGACACCCAAATATCATATCTTATTTCTGCATAAAATATAAAAGCTATGACTTCACGTGCTATTCGTGACAATGTTAAAATAATGCATTGAAAAACAAACAAACGAAAAGCTTGATATAACTCATAATTGAATGGCTGTACCATAAAATGTATTTAGAGTTGAATGCTTCCTTTTTATAATTTTTTTGGATGTTAAAGCGTTGATCGTGCGCACATGTTTAATGAAAAGCGCTTGCTCCATACAAAATGTGCTTCGATCAACGCTTTTTCACCCCAATTCTTAAATAAAGGAAAATAAAGCAGTCTGATATATATATGCAATCATGATATGTGGTAATACTATAACTTGTCTGAGTGTACTGCAGACGGATGTACGTTTAAAGAACTGCATAAAAACGCAAACAAGTACTTAAAACGAGTATTATGCGTGCTGAGAACTTACTGTGAACTTTCATAACTGTAGAAATGTGTTGCTTACTTTTTCAGAACTTGTTTTTTGTTTTGTTTTGAACGTATTTGGACGGAATAAAACGCACTAAGGACGCAAGAAGGTCGAGTGTCAATGGGGTGAACATGCTACAAATCGACTATGTCTGTGTGTACACATACAACTAATTGATGCCCGACCATACCACGCGATATCACGTCCCTAGTACGTTCCAAGAACGGCAATGCGGCTTGCAATACGTCCACCTCGCTCTACGTACATTACCACTCAGTTTAATTTGAGGACGGGATGGTCGCCCGAAAAGTTTGAGCAGGCTCAAAGCTCTCATCAGAGCTCATGTTTTCTATGTTATTGTGTACATATATGCCGACTTTAAATAAAATGTACTTACTCACTTACTCTGAAGTAACATTCCCGACCAAGCCCGTCCATTAAGTTCGTAAACAGACCTTAAAATTTGCTAATACGTACAATCCATCTGCACACTGTTTGATCCCGGTCGGCTTCATTTTTCAGAACGTAATGTGAACGAGTTCATTTACATGGGGTTTAGATTGAAAATGACACAACTACACATAAAAACGAATTACACAGGAGAAGGAATTGAACACAAACAGGTCAAAGGGCGGCATATGGTGGGAAAAAAAAATTTAATTCAAATAAAAAAAACAGAACATTATGGTCAGAGTTTTTAATCTTTATAGAAATTGTTTACAGATAACTTTATACACATATGTGACAAACATATACAAATGTACAATGCATTCGTTACGGGTAACGCAAAATAAAAAAAAAAGAAGAAAACAAAGAAAACAAAATTAACAAAGACAACAAATCTCATACTTAAAAACTTTAATAAATTATGCAATTTTTATTAAAATAACTTTTATTAACAGAATCAGATGGGAAAGTGGCTAATAAGACACTGCATAAAGCGCCGTCTGTTGACAGGAATTTTCGACTACCACTCAACTTGTACCCGACTGTTTATGAAATTGAGATTCAGCCATATATCTATGGAGACAACTCAGAAGACTTTTTCTTCTTTGGTCACGTGAAAATAGAAGTAGATTGCAGGTCTTCAACAAATGAAATTATTCTACACAGTAAGATGCTGAATATCACAGAAAATACTATCGAAATTCGGCCAAGCGGAAACCATAACGACACAATAAATTCTACTTTAGAATATGATACAGACAATGAGTTTATATTACTGAAATTAAGTAGATTGGTAGTAGCAGGAAACAGATACATTGTAGAAATGGGATTTGATGGACATTTCTCTGAAGATTTAGATGGATTGTATCTTAGTTCGTATGTTCGTGACAACTCTACGGTGTAAGTATTAAGAGTTTTTCATTGGCATAATTTGAGTTTAAGTTATTGGCCTTGGCCGCCATGTTGCAATTAAAAATTGAACAGAATGATGGTAGCAGTAAAAACATATATTATAGAAATTGTGTTTTGTTTTACATTTAACTAAACATTTAGACAAATTGTATCTAAATTTGTTTGTTCGTTGCAACTCTCTTCTGTGTAAGTGTGACTAGTTTTCCATTGGCGTAATGTGAGTTAAAGATATTCGCCTTGGCCGCCATGTTGCAAGTAAAAATTGAACAGAAGGAGGGTAGCAGTAAACATATATATTATAGCAATGGTGTTTTGTTCTGTTTTTATTTAATTGAATATCTAAATGAATTGTATCTCGATTCATATGTACGTGATAACACTACAGTATTAGGAATTGCTGATAAACAAGGTTCTTTTCAATAAGGAAACTGCAATGTCCATTGGTCGTAGACCTATCTTTTTTTCCCGGTATTACCTTAAAATCACAGATAAAAATGAACTACTGTTTCACCACATGTTGTACTTAGAAACCCTTCTTTACCCCTCCTCCAACTTGAGTTGATATCTAAAGAGATTTGTTGCATATGTATATATATTGTGTACTCTATTGAATATAGGGGTCAAAGTGGTAAAGTTGAAGTAATCTTCTGGGAAGTATTACGGACGCTATCATCAATGTTTTGGCCGTTATTGGATAATTGATTTTTCAGATGACGATGAAAATGTTCCATTTGTCCTAACTACAAGTTGGTGCCACGTGTGGAGCAAGATCTGTTTACCCCTCCGGAGCACTACAAATCACCCCTGGTTTTAGTGGTGTTAATATTGCTCAGTCTTTAGTTTTTTGTGCAGTGTTTCCTATGTTGTCTTTTTGGCGTTTTTTGGTTTTTTTTATGCCATGGTGCTGTCGGTTTCTCTTGGATTGTCAATTTGGTAGCTTCCGCAAGGGACGAAAAAAAAAATTCACTGCAAAATCCAGTACTTTGTTTTTCTAAAACAAAAAAATACATTTGAATTCTGCTTATATATCTACTTCATGCCATGCCTGTTAACTCAGGGTTGTGTGTACTCAGAGTAAGTTTGGAGGTGAAAACACAAATAGTTTACCCAAAGGGTCCAGATGAACCTTGAGTTTGAAAAAAGGAGTTGCTATATGATAACCAATGGGAGAACTATCCATATAGATCAAAGAAAAGGAGATGCTGTATGATTACCAATGGGAAACAACGATCCATGAAGATTAAAGGAAAATAGGTGAACAATTACATGTCACAGTATGGCATTCAATGAGTAATACCCATACCGTATAGGAAACTATACTGCATTCAATGAGCAATACCCATACCGTATTGGAAGTATTGTCCCGATGTGACAAGATGTGAAACAAATCAAAAGAGAAAACCACTGATTAATACACGTACTACAACAATGAAAAGAAAATATAGAAGACATAATAACCAGTGAAAACCACTGGATTACGGGTTCATGATTTGGGAAAAAGGGGTTGTGAGATAGGATTGGCAGTAAAATGTTTACTCGCAGTTTCTGATTGAATAATTATGTTGATAATATTTGATAGTGTTACCTACTTCAGATACCTTGCTACAACGCATTTTGAAGCCATCCATGCCAGGAAAGCATTTCCATGTTTTGACGAGCCTGCAATTAAAGCAAATTTTAAGATAACTCTCGTCAGGAAAAAGCATATGATTTCCTTGTCAAATACCCGTATTATGTATCAAGACAATAGGTGAGTACAAGTTACAACCAATTAAATATAAGTACAATGAAAGATCATTTAGTTATAAAAACAAAATCATGTAGTTCACGAAGAAGAGGTTCTTCTTCTCTTTCTGCCTAGAACACATAAAATCACTCCTGGTTTCCTTGACTTGATCCATTGTCAGTTTTCTGTATAGTGTTTATAGGATGTTGTTTTCCTTTTATTCGTTTGTCATGGAATTGTCTGTTTGCCACCGTAAGTTCCGAAAACAGCATTCATATCATGCATTAGATAAAAATAAAATGAATGATGTTAAATATAAAAAAAATATTGGACAGTTCATAAGTCCACACAATCATCAACACCCGACTTCTCCGAGAAAATATCCGCACAAAACATGGTACCTACAGGCTCGAACTTTGGTAGGATTAGAAGTGTTCCATGTGGTTTTGATTATTTTAGCGCCTGCATACAGTTAAAACAGACAGAGAATGGTCGTTCCAGTTCCTCTTTAACAAAACAAAACAAAACATATCAGTTCTTCATTCATTGAGGCCTATAGCTGGCATGTCAGTAACTGTTAGTACAACATGTAGTATTTTGTTAATTTATGTATCATTGTCATTTTGCTTAGTTTCTTTTATTGCCTATTCTGACACAGGACTCGGACTTCTTTTAAACTGAGTTTTACTTTGCGTATTGCTGTGTGTTTGTTTATTCTACATTGGCTAGAGGTATAGGGAGAGGGTTCAGATCTCACAAAAATGTTTAACCCCGCCGGATTTTTGCGCCTGGTCTTTGTTAGTCTTGTATGGTTTTTAATTTTAGTTCATTTATATGTTTTGGAGTTAGTGTGACGTCGATTTTCATCGAACTAGTACATATTTTTGTTTAGGGGCCAGCTGAAGCCCGCTTCCGGGTGCGGGATTCTCTCACTGTGTTGAAGACTCGTTGGCAGCATTCGGCTGTTTTTTGCTCTTTGACACATTCCTCATTTTCATTCTCAATTTTATTTGTTTTAAACTACACATTTTTACCAGTAACGTGCTTAATATTTATTCTGCATTGTTCGCTAATCATCCTCCTTATACATGTACATTAATTAAGAAATTTTAAGTTACAATCATCACACAAAAATGATTAATATCACAGAACAATAACAAAGGGACATAATTTTTAGATAATGTTATATTAATTATATTAACTTATGTATTTTTTTTTATTTATCTTTGCGGACCTAGTTGGCCGAGTGGTCTAAGTGAAAAAAATAGTCGAACTAATGTATCACTAGCCTGTCAAAAATTAAGTTGTGAATTCAAATCCTACACGTGGCAGGTGCGCTCGACTACGATCTTAATTGACTAGGATTGTCAGTCTTCGTACCTAAGGACGGTGGATCTCTCCGGGCACTCTGACTTCCTCTTTTTTGGGTCGTCAATGCTCGTCAACTTTGTACTTGTTTTGGCTTTCTAACTATTTCGATCTAAGCGTCACTGATGAGTCTTATGTAGACAAAACGCGCGTCTCGCGTATAAAATTATAAGCCTGGTACCTTTGATAGCAATTTCCTTCACCAACCAATACAAACTGACTGCTACAAAATAGCACAATAGTGCTGAAAGTGTCGTCAAACACAAATCAATCAATTGATGTTTGTCCAGTCACTTGCCATAAGTTATCTCTGATAGCCAACAATATTAACTTATCATGAATTCCGATTTTCCAGAACGGATGATTGGGTTGCTGACCATTATGAAGAAACCCCTTTGATGTCAACTTATATCTTAGCTTTTATTGTTTGTGACTTTCAATATAGCACTGACGTCTCAAAGTACAATGTAACAGTAAGTCAGTTGTTGAGATGTAACAAATACATTTGTATCTGGATATTGATATTGCTAATTATCAATTGAAAGTCGCACATTATTAAAAGAAAACTAAAAGTAAAGCCAGTGCAAACGTATTTGACGTCATAATACGGGAACAGGTGGATAAATCCACAGGAATGAAAATTTCTCATATTAAAGCTAAAAGCTTATTAAGATATATATATTGCAAATACATTGAGGTTTATGTTATGACCAAACTGTTCAAGGATATCGAATGTATATACAAAATCTGTCAAGTATTATTCCAATGTAAATATATGTAAACTCACTAAACAACTTAAAATGATTGTCACATTCCTGAAGTAACTCTGTTAAGGATGTTTGCTACTCTAATTTTTTTAAATTTTTTTATCAAATATTCGGAATCCTCTAGTTTTATCTATTTAGAACAAATAAAAAAAATCATAATATTTTTTTTACAATTCTATAACATATAGTTTAAAAAGCTATTATTTTTTTTAATGGTTTTTGAAAGGAAAAAGGTGCCTATATTAAATGTATATAAAGTCAAGAATGAGAATCAATTCCCGCCAAATTTTCAGTTTATCATATTTCTTAAAAAAAGGCACATTTTTTTCTACTGTCTAAAATTCCATTATTTATACACCATCAATTTATAACAGTTTCTTTACAAAGCTTGTTTTTTTAAAACAGAGGCGCGAAAATCTTTAAGGCCAAATGAAATGGACGATCACTTTAACTGTACCAACCTATGTAACAGGCGAATATATTACCAATGCTGATGACTTTTCTGATTAAATAAACAAAACCATTGAATGAATAAAATAATGATTGCAAAGTCATTGCATGACACGTGTTTCAACAATAATTGCCATGTTTAAATTAAAAAATATTTTTCTCGCCAAATATTTACATTTCATTTCATCTTTTAGTTTAGGTCATGGGCAAGGAATGAAGTAGTGGATCAAACGCCTTATTCTTTGAAAGTTGGAATCAACATCTTAACACATTTTGAGGACTATTTTAATATCAGCTTTCCTCTGGCTAAGTCAGGTTAAGTTCATAATATTAATGGTCTCGGGTGGAAGTAAGCTCTGACATATCTGCGGACAAGGCAATCTGACAAACGAAAAACCTTATAGAATTGATCACTGATTCAAGTTCTTTAAAATATAGAAAATTGATTAAATAAGAAGCGGAAGAAACGAGAGGGATATTTAAAACTCACAAATCGAAGACAAAGTGACAGCGCCATTGCAAATACACGAGAAACGGCTAAAAGACAACAATTCCACAAAAAAAAAAAAAACATGGAAAATTAAAAACTGAGCAACACGAACTCCACCAAAAATTGGATTGCATGGAGAGGGCAAATATTGACCAATAGAAAATAAGCATCGTATTGATATCTGCAATCACGTGATAGTGGTTGTTAAGGAGGAAAGTATTATTGCCTACCAATGCCTGTCTGTCCATTTATCCGTCAGTCTGAAGACAACTCTCGATGACACTAGAATGCTTTCACGAAACGTTACTAAGTGTGTTCTGGATTTTCTTTTTATAATTCTAATAATAGCATCAGTCGATCTTTAGTTATGACACCCAGAACATTAAAAACTAGTACATTTGTTAAAAGGTTTGTTTATATACGTGTATATAAATGTATGTCCAGTACCTTCATAGATTCAAATTAAACTGTTCGAGAATGTTACAACTAATAATAGTACTTTCCGTATCGGTTTTGAAGATTTTTATATTAAAAGAATAGTGAAAGTAGGTTTGATGTGAAACTTTTACACACTGTTCTGTTGATTCAACCAAATATGTGACGATCTGTAGTGGGTTTTCAGAATAGAAAGTCAATTGCCATAAAAATAACCAATAGAGAAATATAGAAAAAGCAAATCAGAAAAATGGGGTGCTAACACACACACACACACACACACATATATAACCGGTAGAAAATTATCGAGAACATTTTAGAACAATTTGATGTCATAATAGACAAAATTTGACTATTCATATTGAATAAATATATATCTAGTGTTTTTTTCAGCCTTACTTGTTTCCCTATTTTATGCACAACGTGGACACATTTTATAACTTTTCAATATAAACATCGTCTCAAATTAACCCAACAATGTTATATCTGCATTATTCTTCTCTCAGTAGGATTCGAACCCCTGCATCTGAGACATCGTGTCAACACCGCCTTTACTTTGTCCAGCGCCCTAGACCCCTCAAACAACTAGGCTGTATAAAAACATAGCTTTCGTTAGTCGAGTAATGTCTTTCCTCTTCGGCTTTATCTAGGATTATAACACAGTACACAATGTATAGTGGCAAGTAGATGGTATTCTTTACAGATCAGCTGTCGTAAAGGAGGATAATTCTACTTACTATGCCGTCACATCAAATTCTAATTTTATTATATATATATAATAGGATGAGCAGTTTCTGCACAACTTGTGGCATCCGTTGCGCTGCTCATGCTAAAAAGTGCTCTTTTAAAAGGAGGTTAACAAAGATAATATTCATTCATGGTCAAACTTGACCTTATTTATGTTCTCTGTAAAAACTGCAATAGATTTGTCATAATTTTTTTAAAGTGTAAAATTGCTTATGATTACTTCAGATATGATAGCTGTTCAGATTTTAAAGCAGGTGCAATGGAAAATTGGGGTCTCATCACATATCGTGAAACATTTATGCTTTTCCATCCTCTTGAATCGTCTGAATTAAAAAAACAACAGGTTACAACAATTGTCTCTCATGAACTGGCACATATGGTAAGAAAATAAACGTATGTTACAAGTTATTACATGTGTTGAATAGGACAGAACGAAAAGGGAGAGGTGCATTCTTTTAATTCAGGCCTTCATTTTGTATCATGTAGCACCTCATTGTTGTTTATTCTCTTCCTTTTTGCCGGTTTTCTCTAAAGACTTTCAGCACACAATTCTCTATTATCTAACCCACATTTAGAATCTCATATATGGACCTGCAAAATATTTATCTAGACTACTCTAAATGAGTTGAAGGAGTTTGTATGTCATTCGTCATTGGGACAGCATCTGGCAGACTGACATAAAAAAAGACATCTAGATATGAAATAGGAAGATGTGGTATTATTGCCAATGAGACATCTTGCCACTAGAGACCAAATAACATAGACGTTAACAATAATAGGTCACCATACGGCCTTCAACAATGAACAACACTAATACCGTATAGTAAGCTATAAAAGGCCTCTAAATATAAAATAACTGAAACGAGAAAACTAACGGCCTGGTTTATGAACAAAACAATGAACAAAAAACAAATACGATATACAGCAACAAAAGACAACCACTGAAGCACAGGCACCTGACTTGGGACAGGCACATACAGTATGTTTTGGGGTTAAACATGTCTGCCCGGCACCAAACCAATCGTCCATCATACGGTATACAATAGACAAGTGTAATTGCAATAGATCTAGTTCTTAATTGATGAAAGTCGAGACTAAAAAGATATTTACATTGACATTGCTATCAAACTCTATCTATATGACATATAACCCAATACGTCTTGACTTTTTAACATATGGTGCAATGAAACTAACTATTTGGCTTTTCTTAACCATTGGACAGCAACAGTCATTCAGAGCACAAAATAAAGCAACAAAAGGACCTAAACATTACAGTTCAAAATCTGTTTTTCCTTAGGGAGTTGCAACTTAAAAGAGTGGCGAAAGATACTAGAGGGACATTAAACCAACAAGTCGAAAACAAACTGAAAACGCCATGGCTAAAAAGAAAAGACCAACAGACAAACAATAGTTCACAAAACACAACATAGAAAACTAAAGACTGAGCAACATGAACCCAATTTTTTGCAATCCTTTCTGTTGAAAATTTAGAATTTCCGTAAGTAAATTACAATACTTTAAATACATTCTAATCCTATTTTAAAACATTCTCATTTCTGAAAGAAATGCATTGTCCGTAAATCACCTAGAAATTATAAAAATTTAAAACACATTTTCAGTGAAGAAATTCAGAGCGTAAAATATTGAATGAATTAATTGCAATACAAAAACCATACTTATTCTTATAAAACCTACAGTAGATATTGGAATTCTGATTTTGATGAGTATAAATCAGAATTCAAATTTTTAATGGTAGATATTGAAATTAAAATTTATAATAAGAGGAATATGGATCCTACTGAATTCCAATTTGAACTGCAAAAGAAAAAACAACAACACACAAACATAGAACACAAAAAGACTGAACAACACGAACCCCACTTACATATACATTGAATTTAAGTCTATCATATCGATAAATACTACAGTATAAAGTATGCAGATAAAAATTGATCACCAATTTGCATTCTTCTTTTTTATAACCAGTAAAATAAATAAATAAAATTCTATTTTATAATTGTGTCACATATTGATTGTACATTTTACAATAACATAATAAATATATATTTCAAACTATCAATACCCAGCTTAAGAGACACATATTTACAAAATAGTTTAAATTCAAATGAACTTAACATTAACTTAAATTTGTTTTTCGAACAGTTAAAGAAGAATTATCATTTACATAAGTACAAATTCAATCGATAAATTGAATTAATAAATTATGTAGATAAGATTTATGGTAACAAAATTTTACAGTGGTTTGTTGAGTGTACATTTTACAATAACATAATAAATATATATTTCAAACTATCAATACCCAGCTTAAGAGACACATATTTACAAAATAGTTTAAATTCAAATGAACTTAACATTAACTCAAATTTGTTTTTCGAACAATTAAAAAAGAATTATCATTTACATAAATACAAATTCAATCGATAAATTGAATTAATAAATTATGTAGATAAGATTTATGGTAACAATATTTTACAGTGGTTTGGTAATTTAGTAACCCCAGAATGGTGGGGAGACATCTGGTTGAATGAAGGATTTGCAAGCTATTTTCACTACCTCGGTGTTGATCATGTCCATCCAGACTGGAACATGGTACGTACAATACTACCTGTATTAAACAAATCTCATCCAGGGTATCAAGTTTATAATTTGTAGCTTTTGTGAGTACCTTAGTGTTGATCACGTCCACCCTGACTAGAGTATAGTACGCTCATATACAATACATGTACATTGTCGGAAAGTATAAAATGTATTTGTTCGAGCTCTGAAAGCGGGACAAAAAGCCAGGCTTCCCGAGGTTTTCTGCTGTTTCGTAGATCGTTTAAATATTTTTTTTAGATTTCCGACAATGTACATATTATTTCTAGTTGGGGAGAACATCATTCATGATTTCTTTTATTTGTTTTTCCATTTTTATCTTTTCCTTATATTTTAGCACCCAATTATTCTACATTACTTATTTTATAAACATTTTTTTCTACTTTTTTTATTTTGGCCCATTTTATTTATTCTATCATCCCCATCCATATTCTCTTCTGTAATATTCCCTTTTATATTTATTTTTCAGCTCGAGGAATTCACTTCTACTGATATGCATCGTACTATGACCATGGATAGTCTGGTGTCCACCCATCCTGTCTATGTACATGTATCGGAAAATAGAAAGATCTGGTCTATGTTTGATGATATTTCCTTCGTTAAGGTTTATATTTGATATTTGACTCAACCATATTTCTTTTAATCGTAAACCAAATGAATGATTATCATTATTATATTCTGATGAAGAGGTATGGCATATTTTGACTGATTTAAAATCTGGAAGTTGATGTACCTTTTAACCGGAAGTTAGTGTAACTCAGTAAATTGTACCAAAAAAGGTCCTACTTGATACCTTACAGCGTTTCAAAGTAAAGAGGCAGAAGATACCATGCAAATTGACAACAAATCACAAGTATAAGAAAAACAATCATGATTCTGCTCCACATGTGACAACAAAACAAATTGAACAACATTATATTAAAATCAAAATGCTATTCATTGCTGTAAATGTAAATATTTCAAATTTTGTAAGTTTGAGCACAACAATTGTCTTGGTTTATGATTGATTATGAGAAATATACAATTTTTAGATATTCTGTTCGAATGAAAATTGGGGCCTCGATGGCTATGTGGTCTAAGAGCTTCATCTTCAGTTAGCACTAGCCTTTCAACTATGTGGTT